TGTGATTCCCCCCTGCCCCCCTCCCCTTAATTTGTCCTACCAGGTGAGGATAAGTCTTTGTATCTGTCCTTTAGTAGTAGGAAGTATATTTATGTAGGTTAAAATGCATTCATTTTGAAACTGGATTTCTTCAACACAGGTTCTGGAGTACTTACTGTGGGCCAGTATATGTATGGAATCATCCATTCCACTCTTATCTGTACATTATTTGACATGGAGAGCCACCTTATATACTGCAGTTTCTCAGTGTTATTTTGATTGTCAAGCCAGCATTCATGGAGAGGTATCCCAATTTACCTTATGTAGCATTTCAGATGCAATCAAATGAGAAATATTTATTTCAATATCCCTGCTTATTATCATATTGTATGCATTTAGAGTTCTACCAATATTCCAAATTTTAACTGCAAAGTGGAGATGTGTTTCCACATGTAAATGAGTATATCAACTCAAAGTTAAATGCAACAGTACTTTGTAATACGCTCACAGTCACAGACTTCTAGCATTAAGCAGTGACCAGCTCTAAAATTAAATACCAACATTCAGAATATGAACACAGAGTATCAATTTTTGGTTTTTAATTCTTTGGACAGGTATTTGCTCGCCGTGGTCTGATTAAAATTGATGAACTGAAGCAATTAGAAAATATCAGTTCTTCCCCAGAAAAGTCAGAGAGGAAAAAGATTTTTAAAGAGGCCACTCTAAAGGTATCATCCTACAATTTATTATAAACAGGTAGAGTAGTTACAGTCTCTATGAACAGAACACATAACATAGTTATTTACTTACTTTTTTCTTTGTGTCAGATGTCAGTAATGATTTTCAAGAGAGCAGTATATGAATCCAGAAGAAAGTCGAAAAGCTCTCAACGTGACTCAAGAGTTAGCCCAGAAGAAGCACTGCATGTAAGTCTAACATTTTGTATAATCCTTCTCTTTATTTGCTGTTTGCATGTGATGAATATGTGATATAATTCTTCTAAATACACATGGTGCTATACACAAGCAGAAAGTTTTACTTTTTCAGTTTCATAGTTAGCAGAATTTATTAATAAAACTCAGAACAAACTCAAGAGGGGAAGATGTAGTAATTACAACTTCAGAAAATTATGAGGAGAGATCTGCTTAGCTTTAAACTACATGGCCTTAATACTCTCCCTCATAATTTCTATTGTATTATTTTTGAAGTAAAATGCCATGCAGTGGGGCATCTCGTTGCTATGAAATTATTACCCTTCTTAAGTACTGTATCCTTTTAGCATAAGGCTTTGCCGTGCCTTTGAAGCATGAAATTAATAACAACAATATATTTTACAGTATGTTATTTTCTGTTTGAAACGTGTACTTACTTTCTGATGGAGAACTGTTTTGAAAGAAATTTTGTTCTAGTGTAAGTCAGTTTAGATGTCACAAGGCTTAAATTATCTTTTCTTACTTAGTTGCCATGGCCTCGCACTATTACTGAACGGCTGCTGGTGGAAATGTTTGATGGTGCCGCAGCTCAGTTCCTTGCCATCCTGGAAGCACTCTCTGATAGTAGCAGGAATGTCTTGCACCCTCATCCACCTGTTCCCGATGAAATTGAAATTCGTGATGTCATTTCAGAGCTGTTTTTTGCAGGCCTAGAAATCCTCTCAAGAAACAGCTTAAAGAAGCAAAAGGGTGTTGGTGAGAAGCCTGGACCTCTGTTTTATTTTATTTTTTTTCTATTAAAAAAAATAACTTGCCTGAAGGCATAGATTTCATTTATAACAATAGCACCTGTAAACACAGGTAATCTTTCTTATCTTCATGATATGTGAGATAAAAATCGGAGTTGATTCTGTGGTCTGTTATATCAGTAAAAATCTTCAGTAGTTTATGCATATATTTTCTAAGTAAACTGGGGTTCACTTTCTTTGTAGCAGCATTTACAGTGCTGCACCTTGCATTTATGGCTAAAGCAGTGTTCTTAATACACCAGTGTTTTTACTATTGCTGAGCAGTGGTTGCACAGCATCAAGGCTGTCTATCCAACCCTCCTGTGCCCTGAGGCCAGCAGGTTGGGGGTAGGCAGGAGGCTGGCAGAGGACATAGCTGGCACAGCTGACCTGTACTCACCAAGTGTCAGTTCCATAAAACATCGTGTTCAGCAGTAACACCTGTGGCTAAGGGAGAGGATGGGGGCACTTCCCAAGCAACTGCTACACATCCTGAACCCCTGCTTTACAGAAGGTGACTGAATATCTGCCCATCTATGGGAAATAGTGAATAAATCCCTTTTTTCACTTCACTTGCAGTCATACCTTTGTTTTCTCATTAAACTGTATTTTATCTCAACCCATGAGCATTCCATCTTATTTTTTCCCCCATCCTGTTGTGGTGCGGGAGTGAGAGAACAGCTGGGTGGGGGGTCTAGAAGCCAGGCGAGGTCAAATACCATGGTGTTTGATTTTTTTGGTTTTGTTTGGTGTTGTTTGTTTGTTTGTTTCCCCCCCAAAAAAATAACTCAAAGATTTAAAAACTTGAGAAAAACACTGGACTAGATGGTTCCTACCACACCTTTCTTGCTGGGCTCTGGGCTGCGTATAGCCATAGGTATAGAAATATTTTGTCATTTTATCAAGAATTTATAGAGACTAAATACCCTTCAGAATGATATTTTCTTTATATGTTTACTGGCTAATTAGAATGTAACAAATCAAAGACATTATAAATTGATTTAATGAGTTGTCTCTATTGAAGGTGGAGCAAGCAGTGGCACCAATCATTTTGGTAACATTAATCCATCATCAACCCTTCTGCAGTTGATAGTAACAGGTAAGCTAGCTTTGAATTTCAAAATATTTTGTACCCAGTGATGCAAATGTTCAGTAGGCAGAATTAATTTTCATGTTAGTAGTAGTTGTATGCATAAAGGGACTGCAAAATGGTGTCCACCATTGGAGTGGTTCTGTGCAGGGCCAGGAGCTGGACTTTGATGATCCCTGTGGTTCCCTTCCCTTCCCTTCCAACTCAGGATATTCTGTGATTCTATGAGATATGTTTGTTTACACATGTAATATTAAGATATTCAGAAGGGATTATGTACATATATCATTACAGTTTTCTTAACACAAGAATTATTTAAATAACATAGAGTAATACATGGACATCGTAATCACATACTGTTCAGCATTTAAGTTCCTCTAGGTAGGTTAATGCCCCTCAACAATAGTTGAAAGGCCAAATTCTGCAATGATTTCCTGGTACCTTCTTACTGAAGAGAAGTGGGATGCAGTAACACAAAGATTGTTGAGATCCTTGGACCAATCATTGTGCTGCTTTGGAAATCACAGCTAAGTGACATTACTGAGTTAATACTGCTAACATCTTTAGCTGAGTGACCATGTGCCCAGGGGATATGATAGTGACTGTGGTATATTGCTAGGACTGCAGAACACTGCTGAATAAATATATTAGCTGAGATATTTGCTTGGAGTTCCAAGGACCATGAAGTCCCTTTTCTGCCTTGCTGGGGTTTGGATAAACTTGAAGAGTGAGAAAATAGGCTCCCTATGTATACATGAACATTTTCTGATGCAGTAATGAGAAATGTTTAACTATCTTGAAAGAAATTTTATGTGTTTCTGTGTAAATTTTAATCTAAATTTCTGGCAATAAGGGTCATTATGGGGTGATCCCAGACTTAAACTCTTCCTGCAACAGAAAGGCCTAGATCCTTGGTATTCTGTACACAGTTATGTTAATACCAATAATAGTACAGCCTCTTTGGAATGTAACAGGACATTGTGATATGGTTAAGCGGGCATGGTGTTATTTGGTTAAAAGTTGGACTTGATGGTCTTGGAGGTCTCTTCAAACCTTTATGATTCTGATTGCAGATACATCATTAAAGCAGCATGTAAGCATAGACATTATCATGAAATAATAAAGCTGTCATTTCTTGTAGAGCTATGAAAGCATCCTTCAAGAATATGCTGATTGTTCAAAACACATGGAATTTTATCTTTGTATTTATCAATACCCAAATTATTAAATTAAATTAAATTAAACTTTAAATAAACTTCTGAATATATATATATATAAAAGAGAGAAAATATTTTTGTCATCACTGCAGGAGAAAAGGGGGTGTCTGGAGATGCTGCTGTGAAATTCATAAAATTAGCTTTCAGCTATGAAGAATGGGAAGTGTTTGATTCTGCTATTCAACTTGTTGTTAATTTTCTTCAGGTAATCTGGATGTTTTTTAGACATTCTTTATTTAGTCTTTTTTTATGACGGTAAGTATTCAAAGTACATATCTTAAAGACTAATTTCTGTGGTTTTTTTCCTCTCAATTAGGCTCAAGATGACCCGACATGGAAGAAAGCTGAAATGGAGCTCAAGCTTCTTACATTGATGCAACCTTTACTATTTCCAAGAAAATTTGAACGTGTTTCTTCTGTTAGTGAAGATAATAGCAAAGAAGCTAGCACACCCCAAGGTTCTGAAAAGACACAAACATTTAGAGGTGAGTGTTACTCATAGTTGTGTTTGAATTTAAAATATTTCTGCAGCAAGAGATTTTGTTAATTATTTAAAAACTATGTAATATGGTGCATGCAGTATTCTGTGACAAAAAATAGCAATTGAGAAACTGCCACCTATCAAATTTTGTCCAGTTTTCACTTGTCAAAATATGACTATACAAGACCCCTCCAGTGTGAAATACATGATGGATGTTAAACATGCATCAAGTTATAAGCAAAGATATAAAACAAATGGATGTTTTCATAAAAAAAGGGTTTTTTTCCTGTTCTTATATTTGATTTATGCAAAATTTCTTTCCATAGAAGCAAGAAAAACTTGTTAGAGTAACTGCAGTTAAATTCTATGACAATCAAAAAACCCTGCAAATTTCTTGAAAACTTTCTGTTACCTAAAAATAGAAATGCTCACTTTTCACAGAAGTGAGTAAACTTGGGAATATCTATCCCTGCTGTATTTACTGTTTCTTAGACCACATTGTCTGCTGGCATATTTCAGTAAGTCAGTTCACTCAGATTTTTTCAAACATAGGTTTGTAATTAGATATAATGTCTCACCTGTCCTTTTCTTTCTTTTTTTATAAACATTGAATGTAGAGGGTTCCTTAAAGCATGGAGAGCCTTATAACGATCTTACCATTTTGGCAACAACAGTGTTTTCCTGTGTTTCCACATCTCAGCAGGTAATAACAGAATTAGAGACGTTTCTTTTAAGTGTATCACTTAATTTGTGATTAATGCATATAATTGAAGACCAAAGGAATCAGTTGCATAATTAACAACCTGTAAGAGTATAAAAAAATGAAAAAATGTACTTACAAAATTTGATCAATTTGTGATTAAAAAATGGTTTAATTTTCTAAAATTTCTGCTAGGTAATCAGGCTACTTAAAAATGTTTCATATATATTAAATCTGTTTGGAAGACTGTAGAGCTGATTGCATGTTTTCGCTTATCAAGCAGAGATCAAATTTCTTGACGTATGTTAGATTTAGGTAGGCAAATACGCTCAGCTGTAGAAAACATTTCTGCAATATTTGTAGAAATGGGGGCAGTTACCCTAAGGAATTATGTCTTTATAGCAGCAGTATGTCTGCAATTTAAGGTTAATTTTCACTGCAAAAAATGCAAAAGAAGCAGCAACAACAACAAAACCAATGAGAGTGGGACTCTCTGTGCTGAAGAATTAATCCCATTATACCTCTGATTGTTTATTCCCACTTTTCTATTACATCCTGAAACTGAGATTTCCCCTTAATGTGCTACTGAGAAGGGAAAACCTAGTGTTGTATATATACATGTATATATAATGTCTCCATTTCTTGCATTTACATTGAAATAGTTTGTGATCCAAAAGACTAATGAAAAATTTTCCTTAGAAAAAACCTGTTCTTCTAACATGGCATATGTCTTAACTGCAAAATTTATTTTAGATATAATTTGAACATTGACACAATGTGAATACAATTAGGGCACACACATTTTTAGCATTAGGGTAGTATATTCAGTCAAAATACGCTGCCTGTGAGGTAGCTGTACCTTTAGATAGCATGATTTGTCAGTTTTCTAACATGACTTCTGTATCATGGAGGCAGTTACCTAGATTTAAACTCTTCTGGTTCTTCTACACTTTCTCACAAATCTCTTTGATACCTAATCTGTCCTTACTCTCTGATCAGAATGTGTTTTACATGGTGTAGATGGCCTCTATTGCCTTATAAAATGTGCTGATTAGGAGGGTAATTGAATAGAGATTTGAATTTCTTAATTATTCTCTTCACAAGATGCAGATGTCGTTTAACATTTCTTTCAGTTGTTAGATATTTCACTCCAAGCTTTTTTTCTAGTTCTTTAAGTTGTTCTTCACTGCTCCATCATCTGAGATGCACCAACAACCCATGGAAGTACTCAGTCAATGCAAAAAACCCCTATTAATTTAGATTTTCTTCTGCAAATATTTAAATACTGTAATTAAAAAAAAGTAAAGTTTCTCCAGAATGTGTTGATTATTATAACATTTCACAGATAATTTGCTTTCTCGTGTAATTTTCATTTCACTTCTTTCCTTGTCTGTGTTACTTTTAAGTGCTTGTCATAAAAAAGAGAAATAAAGCCCCCAAACCTCTAAATCCACTTGTATTGTTGGGAGAAGAAAAGCTTGGGTGGTCTACCAGAATTACTTTTTAAAAATATTTCTTAAGCTTTCAAGATGTTGTCAAAATGTTGTCATTCCTTGGAAGAAAATTACATATGATAATGGTTTATTTACTTGTGTTGAAAAATGTTGAGACTCTTGATATACTGGGTTATTTGTGTGTTTGTATGCCTACCTGTTTCCACAATTATATTGTTTTTTCTTTCCAGAATGTCCATCCTGACAAAGAAATACTTTTTGATGTAATAATGTGTTTGTGGCAGAAGTGTAAAATGGAACTTCAGCAAATCCAAACAAGTGGAAGTGACTACTTAGAATATATCCACAGATACAAAGCTTACCAAGTACTCCTTCATTATAATGTATTTCTCTTAATATGAATGCAGCCTATTATAGTTAAGCCAAGATAAAATGCTGGTATCCAGCCTAAGTACATTTTCTTGTGGTGAAATGCAGATACTCTTCTTCACTGAAAATAGGAATTGTATATATGCTTTGAACAAACTGTGCTCCCATATGTCAGCATCAAAATATCTCTCAGTCTTTTTGTGCTGAAGTAACCCATTCTCTACCAGTGGGCCATGGTGTTAAGAAGCTAAAATAGTGAAAGCATTTGGGCATAATAAAAGAAGAAGTATTTGATATGTTGTGGCAGAAAATATCAATATATTTCAAGGAAGTTCTCTAGATAGTTGAACAAAGTGGCAAAAACCTTACAGCTTAAGACAAGGCAGAGGGGGATCAATAGTATTTGTCCCACTGGACAGAGTCACAGCCTTACCCTGAACTTTTCCTGAGACTGAGAGGCTCTTGGTGAAGTGCAGTCTTCTGAAGATAATTCATACTGGTTTCTTTGGGCTGCCGGTTGATGTTAACCGAACAGTTCCTGGAGGAGTTAATTTTGTGACCTGGTCCCTGTAATAAAATTGTTCAGAGATTCACCAAGAGGTAGTGTATGGTTACTTTCCTCTGTATGTACAACAGTAGCATTCAGGTCTCTTATACTGTTTAAGTGGGAAGATACTGGGATAAATGAGAGGCATATGATCAAATCTACTGGAAGAATTACTACACTATACCAAGGTATAAAAGTTGTGGCTGTGGAACATTCATAAACCTTTCTCAAAGGAATGGCAGGAATGATAATATTCTAAAATAAAAAAAGTCTGCTCTCTGAAGAAACAGGGGCTATGGAACAGCATAAATTCACCATCTTAATCTGGGGGCATTCAGAAAAAGAAGACCAATCCAAGAAAGGAGTTGTGTGCATGCTCATGAATATTTTTAAATAATTTTTAGTGCAAAACTGTATCTACCTCTGTAATACATAAATATCTTCCAAAAATTTGTTTTAACTCTGCCTTGATTCTTTTTCTTTCCCCTCCCCCCATTTTTAGTGGGTTCATATACTCTGGATAATAAATGAAGTAATTGAGAAGAGCAGCATAGCAGACACGAATGCAATGTTTGCAGAGATAACCTTATGTCTAACTGAAGTGTTGGAAAACATAGCTAATTCTATGAGTGAATCTAAGAAAAAAGAAGGTAAAGCTTTCAACAAACATTTGTTTTTCTTTCAAGAATGACTTTCAAGATAGGAACTTTTCTGAGTTGAAAACTTTGACAAACATAGGTATTCAAAAAATGTAAAGAGATTGTTGAGAGTGGAATGATAATTTTTTGCACAGAATTTCATCTGTAATTGGAACTAATGAAACCTGATTTTCATAAGATTTATGCCTTTTTTCCTTACGTTTCCAGTTATACCAGAGTATCCCCATTTTGAATTACACCTCTTATTACTCGCCCTCCCCAAAGGTCTATATGTGTCTTAGCCCCTTCAGAGTAGCCTCAGATCACTGATACGTTCCCTGAATATTGGCTGGGCAGAAGGCAGTACGTGCTACAGCTCATTTGGAGCATTCAAATGCTGGTTAACTAGTGGCAGGTCAAACAAAAGAGGAGAATATTGAGATCATACTGAAGCTTATGGGTTATCAGTTTGGTTTTCTTACTGGGTCATCAGCCTTGATTTTTGTATAGGAATTCAATTGTCTTTGAAACTGAACTTGGCTGACACTATTGGGATATAATGCAATCACAATTACATTAAAAACCTTTCCTTCCAAAACCTGACTAATGCTGTAAAATATGAATATTTAGACACACTTTTAGAAGTTCTCTGTTATTGTGTATTTTGGAATATGTATCATAGTTCTCATAAATGCTTTACAGTAACTAGAGAGTAAATGTTAAAGATCCTTTTAGACCATATCTAGAAACAGAAAGGAATGACAATAGTTTTGCTCTTTTGAAAGTAAAAAAATCTTGGAAAACTACTGTTCATTATAAAGGTAGAGTGGATATTATTTTTGGTGGTGTTATGAAAATGATACTGTTCTCAGGTAGACTTGAGGAATCCTTGTAGAACCACTTCTATTCTTTTTCATTCAGTTTAAATATGTCTTTTTGGAGGGAAAAAAAAACCTGAATAGATAGGAGCCATTGGTCAAAACAGGCTGACAAATAGCCAGTTAAACACATTTTTATGCTAAGTCTATTTACTAAATGGAGCAAATATAGATTTTCATATTTATGAGAAAGAGATGGTGAACTAGCAGAAATAAGCAGGCAAAAGTGGAGTGACTAGAAGGTTGTCCCTCTGAAAGGGTAAAAAATTTATTTACTTCAGCAAAGAAATGAAATTAGAGGGCTGCAACCCAGAACTGATAAATTGCTTCCTCTTGTTTTGAAAAAGAAAGCACAAGTCTGAATGCATTCTTTATAAGTGAAAATAATTTAAACTGTCAAAGTGAACATTAAAAGGTGATAATGCCACTTAGAGAAATATTAAATTGAAATAGTATATGTCATAAAAATATGACTACCTATACTTAAAAATGCTCCTGTAAGTAAAATTAGCATTAAACCCACTCTGAATTAGATAATAATAGATTCGAATTGATTTCAAAATGGAGAATTGATATGAATGCTACAGCAATGTGAGGAACTACAAAATGAGTCCAAGTTTTGCTGGCTTAGATATAATGTTGATGTGAAATATAGGGTAAATTTAAAAATGCAAAATCATTGGATAATCATTTCCTGTATTAGTATAACTGTACATATTGTAGCTATGTGTCTAAACCCCAGAAAGCTTTTCAAGTATCAATATAACTACCTCTCATAGTCAAGCACTGAAGAACTGAATTATTGCCAGACTCTTAAATTAGTAGTAGAGCTAATCAAATGGAACTAAAATTTTCTGAATTTGTTTAATTTTTATTTCTGATTTTCTTCCTATAAAAAAAGGAGAAAGAAGTGCCTCTCTGTCAGAAGATGAAACCTGTGATATCCCTGAAATACTGATGGTAATGTCTAATTTATCTTCATTAATACGATGATTTTGAATAGCGTAAGAACATTTCCAGGATGTCTCCTACATATTTCTGCTTGAAGCTTTTAATACAATTTTATATTTAGTTTTACAAAGATTGTTTCACACAATCTTGCTAGTGCAGAGGAAAAAAACAAAGATATTTTTTCAAATGAAATAAAATTTGAAAATTTTCCCTGGGTCTTTTTTATCAATCCTTTATATGGCAGAAGTTTTATTTGAAACTTTTACAGCATGGTCATACTGTTTTCTGCTATACACCCTTTTTTTTTGCCAATGTGTAGTACCAGCTTTAAATAGTTTAATAGCACATTTTTTAAAGATGGTAGAAATTTTAGTCCTTGCTTCATTTAGGAAAATATTTTGGGTTGTACTTTCGCTTCTTTGTTTTTGTAAGGGATGTATGGAATAGATGAAACGTCTTGAGTGTCCTTGCTTTGTTCAGTGTGTTAAGAGCTCAGCACTTTGGAGAATTGTCCAATCAAATGACTTACTAAAACACATTAAGAAGGAAAGATATGTATTAGTCCGAGGATTCAGGACTTTTGTCAATGACATATCTAATGCTTACACACGGAAAAGGCTTAATTCAGCAACAGTCTACTTGAAGGTGGTATTTTCTGAAAAAATAGTGTTTTCTTAACAACATCTAATGGAACATTGAAAAACTGCTTGTGAAAAAAAACCATGTTTTCAACTTAATTCCTTAAATTCAGTTTCATTCTGCTATAAGCTAACTCCTGGTAGTTTGGTTTTTTTTTTTTTTTTAGAGCTGAAGGAAAATCAGTCCTACTTGAAATTTAAAACATTGATATAAGTATATGAAAGCATGGGGAGCAGTGCCTATGTAAAGATTATTTGACAAATTTTAAACTTCGGCAGCTAAAAACTATAGCAATCTACTTTTGATAGTCTATGTTACAGTTTTTAATGCTGTTATCTAATAAAATGTGTTTATATGTGTTTTCATTTCAGAAAACTCCTACGGAACAATTACAAATTGCTTACAAAAGTCTTGAAAAAGCAATTAATGGAATGAATGCATCTCGGTTAATGACCCTTCTACCAGATGGAAAGTCAATATTTGACAACTGCTGTACAAAGGTAAAGTTTACGAAAAGCTACACTGCAAAAGAATCCATGAATAATATATTGTCTTTTGATGACACAAACGTCATATTTTCTTTATACTTAGGAATTTTAGTACTAGCAAATGTACCTTGCCTTCCTGCCCCATGTAAGAAGAGAATAGAAAAAATAAATCTCTGTTTATTAGTGTTGTGGTTTGACCCCAGCTGGTAACCGAGCTCCACACAGCAGCTTATTCAATCCCTCACAGGGACATGGGGGAAGGGTAAAACTGAGACAACTCATAGGTTGAGATAAAGACAGGTTAATAGGTAAAGCAAAAGCTGTGCACACAAGCAAAGCAAAACAAGGAATTTATTCACTGCTTCCCATGGGCAGGCAGGTGTTCAGCCATCTCCAGGAAAGCAGAACTCCATCACTCATAACAGTTACTTGGGAAGACAAACACCATCACTCCAAACAACCCCCTCCTTTCATCTTCCCCAGATTTATATACTGATCATGAGGTTGTATAGTATGGGATATCCCACATCCCATACCCCATATGGGACATCCCATCCCATACGACCAGCTAGGGTCAACTGTCCTGCTTGTGTCCCCTCCCATCTACTTGTGCATCCTCAGCCTGCTTGCTGGTGGGGGGGTATGAAGAGCAGAAAAGGCCTTGATGCTGTGTAAGCACTGCTCAACAACAATGAAAACATCCCTGACATTATCGATATTGTTCCCAGCACAAGTCCAAAACACAGCCCCATGCCAGCTTGCTATGAAGATTATTAACTCTACCTCAGCCAAAACCAGCACAAGTTGAAATAGCATTTTTCTCTTTCAGTAATAAATTATGAACTCTTTTAAGATTTCTTTACAATTTTCTTTTGAAATAATTATAATATATAGATTTCTTCTATAAATTAAAACCAGAAATACTTTTAATATTTATTGCTTGCAACGGTTTATTATTAAAATGAATTTTTTGCTGTTGATGGGAGTTCAGATTTTCTAAATATTATCATTCTACACTAATATGAATTTATTTGTGTGGATTAGTAACACAATAAAATGTATTTTTCTTCAGTTTCATCTTTATTATTGATCCAGTTTCCTATTCATGCTCAGATTTTGTCTAGTTTACTCTCTCCATTATCTCTGCTTTCTCTGCCTGGTCATTCTCCTTCCGACCGTGCTTTCTTGATTGATTGCATATTACACAGATATGACAAATTTCAGTGTTTGTCAATGTACAGAAATAATATCAGTGTTAAGAAAATGCAGTAAGCTAAGTAAAAAAAGTTTGTATTTGCTTAATTGCCACTTCCTATTTATTAGATGGACTCAAGTGATCAGAATTTGAATTCTGTTTTGGGATGTGGTAATGATAAAACAGGAACAGATAATGGTTTTGTAGCAGATTTACACCTGGAGCTCATTC